CTTCTTTCAGCTTTGTCACCTACTCCTGTGAACCCAGTCATCAACGTAGTAGTTTGTATTCCTCTACACTTACTTTTCTGTTTTTATTTATTCGGACATTGTCTCATTATGTTCTTGAGCAAAATTTTAAAAATGTACTATTTACAGATGTATCAACAGAAGCATAGCACCTAGTGCTGTTGTTAAAATTGCTTTCTGTGCAGTCTCTGTTTTCCCATTCATTTATGTAAAAATCTAGGAGTAGACAACATCAAGGACTTATCAAAAGCTCAGCTCTTTAGGGGAAACATATCTGCTTAGGCTGTGGATTTAAAACTTCTTTCCTCTTTTGAGGGTCTGGAGAAAATCCTCTATGGACTTACATCAGCTATTTCCACAGCTGGAACTGGATCGTTACTGCAATCCTAAAAGAGCTTCAGCGTTGGTCGTGATGGTGGTTACAGTGCTAATAGCACAGTAAAACAAAATAAAGCTTAGGGATAAAGATTATACCACTGCTACTAATGCTGATGCTGCTCCCCAGCTTTCCAGTTTTATTCTGATATTAATGTGCCTTCATGGAAGAAATTTTATTAGCCAGGGAGTTTCAGTTTCCATTTTACAAATATTCTGTATTCTACAGGTATCTATGATAAGTTATTTCAAAGTTGTGAAGCAATTTTTTTCAGAAAAAATACATTAGATATTTAGGACAACCTTCTTAAAATTTTAAAGGTTTCTCCTTTATCATCTTATCATTATTTTCATTTTCATCTTTTACTATTTTTTACTGCTTGATGTAACTAAAAGCATGTATTGGCAACATAAAGCTAAAAGCTGACATTTTATCTTCATAGTTTAGATGTGCTTTAATGAGACATCCTGCAAACAAAAAGGAATCCTTACAGTGCAATCTGATATTTGCAAAATATTTGATACTCTTAAGAGTACTATCTAAGAACAAACAAAGTTTAACTCACAGAATAGTGAAATACCATATTGTCAACCTTCGTTATTGTATTTAGATCAAATTAGACAAAAACCCCCAAAGTAATAGTGACATGCTAGAGTGCACATTCTGTTTATTTTGTTCCCTGGTAGTAATCTTACTCTAGTGGCCTGGAATAGAAAAGCCAAGATTGAAAATCATGTTTGATTTGAGAGGTGCTGATAAGTTGGTTTGTGAGAACATGAGCCAAAGAAATATATAATAAAATACCTCAAGTTGCTTATTATTATAGATGGCTAAAGTTGGCTACCAATTTATAATAAAAATTGCTTTCTTAAGAGCTAAGCTCTCAGTTCAGCTTGTTTGAGTCTAGTTTCAATAAAAATAAACATGTTTCTGTGTGGAACACACTGTCTACTGTAAACAAGTGTTGTTTTTGGTTCTTGTGGAGGAAAGATATAAATTTCCCTTCAGTATCTTTTCACTGGGAGAATTCTAATAGAATTTTAGGGTGGTGGAGAAGAACAGTAAATTTTCATGACTTTATTCTGTAAGACTGGCATTGAATGATTTTGTTAGTCTTTTGATTCGCTCTCTTCATTTATTCTAGAGAAGTTTCAAACATCATAGATTATAGCTTCCTGGAAATAGCATGATACGGGATTTAAAAAGGCTTGAATTATAATTGCATCTCTTTGTTTTCATCACCTTTTGCTGTTTGTGCTTGTTTTGTGTCTGTAATATAAAAAAAAAATAAGTTACCTCAGTATTTTAGGCATTGAGCAGACAGATGTGATAGTGCACACCTGTAATCTCAGTTGCTTGGAAGGCTGAGTAGGAGGATTGCATGCCCAAAGGCAAGCCTAGCCTGGGCAGAGTACCAAGACCTCTCAAAATGAAGAATAAAAGGCTGGACATGTAGCTCAGTGGTAAAGCACCACTTAGGTTCAATCTATAATATTACAAAAAAAAAAATCAGTGAGATAATGTGTTAATTGTTACCGTTGTCAACAACACAGGCACTGAAAAGTTAAACTTTTCTCCTTCTTTGCACCTATTATTATTGCCTATAGATTGAGAAAAGAACTTTTGAAATAAGCACTAATGATTTTCATTTATCTACTATAATATGTACCATGACTTTTTATACAACTGGAGGGTTCAGCTTGGGTATTTTTTCATTATAGGACCTCCTCTATGTAGGAAGTTTTACTTTATAAACTTTTAAAGGTAGTTGTGGAGAAGGTTTTGAGTCACACGTGTCCTGTAGCTTGGCTCAAGGACTGGTGTTATTGGCCCCTTGCACTCTTGTCTCTTTGCACATGTAAATGAAAGGATTTATGAGGTACTGGTTTTTACTCAAATTATTTAGAAACAAACTTATTTTACAAGTAGAGGATTGTCTTTGTTCTTCTAAGGCAATCTTCTTTTCCTTCATACCTTCACATTGCCTTGGATGTAGTGCTTCTGTTTATGTAGAAACATTTTACTTGTTATCTAGTAGTATGCTCAACACTTTCAGTGTACCCATGAGGAAAATGAGGCAAGAAGAGCTTGTATTATTGATCTCAGAGTAATATAACTAGTAAATCAGAGAGCATCAGTTAAGACAGACTGGGTTGGACTGTAAGTGGTATAACATGACAAAAGGCTACTCCTCTTCCATGTGATCAATCAGTGGGATGGCTTATTGTCGTTCGGGAACCCAGCTTGGAGGAGAAATTATTGAGACACTTTATTCTGCTTTCACAAAGGAAGACCCCTGGAAGGTGGTGAAGCCCAGAGCTTTTTTAAGGCTTTCGTTCAAAGGTGATACACATTATTCATGCTTGCATTTCATTAAGCAAAGCAAGTTAATGGCTGTACTTATCTTGAAAGGGTAATTGAAAACACAATCTGATCAAATGCTAAGGAGAACAGGTTTATTTGTGAATAGCCTGTGATAATTAATTCTGATTTATCCACTGCACTAGATTAAGAAACGCCTAATAAGATCAGTAAAGCACACTCCTGGGTTTGGGTACTATATATGCATGGTCTCATGCAGTTCCTATCTGGCCTGCTCTGCTTCCTGGCAACCGTGAACTGAACACCTTTGTTCTGCCACACCTTCCTGCTGCTGTAGTGTTTCTGCCTTGGAAGCAGCTCCCTGTGAACATAATCTCCCAAACCATGAGCTAAATCAAACCTTTCTTACTTTAAGATGTGAGTGTTAGAATTGTGTCTAGCAATAAGGAAACCAACTAGTGTGTTATTACCATAATGCCTACCACATGGAAGAAATGGAGACCTAATCCAGATTTGCATGTCTCCAAGATGCATTCTCAGTACCTCAGTAAATTGATAGAGTCATATCAAAGTTGAAGGCCTTTAACCATAAGAATTCTAGTATTCGCTTATCCCAGAAAACCTAATAAACATCATAAAGTATCAGTAGAGTCTTCTGTTGTTTCAGTCCCTGTGTAGTCTCAGTGTATTTCCTAGGTATTGAATGTTGTTTCACAGTTCGATCTGTCCACTGTGTTCACTAGGTACAGTAGTGTATCATCATTTTTCCTTTTTCTTTCCTATTTTCTTTCTTTCCTTTTTTTAAAGAAATTATGAAAGTGTGCCTGAGGGGCTTTTCACAACAATATGGTGTAGAACTTTTGCAAGGTATCTTTTTTTCTTATTGGTGTATATTGATTAAGAATGTTTGCATGAAGACAGCCCTTACTGCAGCAGTGAAGTCAAATGAGAGTTTCTTTTTCTCCTCTGAATTAGACATGCTGAGGTGGGCAGTCCTGTGCTCAGAATGCCACTTGGAAAGGACATCGTGGGTTCCTTCTGTCTTTCCATCATCTTTTGTGTTCATTGCCTAGTGGTCATTTGCTTGTCCCACCTCCAACAGTCATGTTCCAGGTAGGAAGAAGGAAGAAAATGCCCGTGTCTGCTAAATCTGTCAGCTTTTAAAAAGTACCTTGGAAGCCACACCCATGGACTCACTACCTTCAGTAGACTGTGGCATTTAATCAGTGTGATGTTACTAACTGGATATATGCCACTTCAAGTGAAATTTGGATTATTCCAAAAAGAAAATAATGAATGTAGAGAAGAAACTACAAGTTCATTGTTAATTAAAGCCCTTTCTACCACTTAAAGTTATATAAAAGAATAAATTTTCACACAGACATTGTGAAATTTTTCCTTTATATTTTGTTAACAGTCTGTTCAATCATGCTTTTTTTGCTAGTATTATTTACATAATTTAGATTAGGAGTCTAAAGTCTCCAAGGAGAGAATTTAATATGTTTTAAAAATTGGTATAGGTTTTTTAAAATTTAACTTTAGATAGACCGTGTTCTATAGTTGTATTACACTCTCCAATATTCTTTGTTACCTTGCAAGTTTATTCAGTTCATGTTTATGTTCCATGGTTGGCCCTGTAGGTATTTGAATTAATTAATTAACTAATTAATTATTTTGGTACTGAGAATCGAACTCACAACCTCACACTTGGCAGGCAGGCACCTGTGCCACTGAGCCATGTCCCCAGAATTTAGACAGATACATATGTAGTTAGAATAATTTCAAATGCCTAAGACCTCTAACTTGTATGTGGCCCATAGACCAACGTGAGAGAAGTAGCAAGCCACTTGACAGTTGCTGCCATTGTTTGTTTTCAAGTGCCAGTGATACTGCATTGATTTGTGATTGACACAAAATTAGCTCATTGCATCTACTTATATCATTGTATATAATTATTTCTTTTAGTTTACCTGCAACAGGTAAATTGTTATAATGGGAAGAATATTTTATTGTATTTGAATAAAGTGTAAAATTTAGTTCTGATATTTTTAGCTATATAGGAAATGAGTATTTGTATCCTTTTATTAAAATTCCTTTAGTGATAGGGAACTTATGAATTTAAAATGTTATTTATTTAGAAACAATATATATTTGTTTAGATATATATTGCTTTTACAGTTAAAAGCCAATAATAATGGAAAACAATCTCTAATTTTGAAGGAAAAGTTTAACATACTATGATCTGTCACAAATACTTTTTTAGTGCCCTTTTTTTCCTTAACAGACGCTACTTCGTCCTCTTCAAGCTTTATGCTCTTTCCAGCTTCAACATGGTGCTCAGGTTCGTCTCAGCAAGGAACACCTTCTGAAGAATGGATTATATCCTAAGCCAATGCCAAAGAACAAACGCAAACTCAGGAAAATGGAACTCTTAATGAATAGCATTAAAATTTAGTACAGTTACTCTTCTGGTGCTAATTTACCTGTTTTAGATTACTACTAATCTTGTTCAGAAGAAGCAAGTAGACTAAATAGCCATACAAAAAACACAAAGTAAAAACTTCTCTGACTCAGAAGCAAATCATATTGCATTTATTTTTAAAAAATATGCCTCTAAAACATTTTTTCTAATCCATAATTTAAAATATAATTAGTTGCCATTCTAGGGTAAGAAGTCTTCATATATAAAATGGAAAGAAATTGTGCCTGATTATTTACAGTGTGGGTGTGAATAACTAGTTGCAACTAGTAATTGGACATATCCTGCACCAATTTGTAACCTTGTACATGAACTTTATACTTAGAAACAAGTACCAAAAGAGAATAATGATAATCAAGTGATGATTTAGATTGAATTATTTCATAAAATAGTATAAAGAAAAAAGTATTCTTTAGGTATTAACCTTGAGTTCACCTAATTTATTTACATTTTCTGTTAATTGCCTGAATATTACAGAGAAGTACATGTTATTTTGAATTAGTATTATTTTTGTTTAAAATAACTCTGGATAAGTTCTGATTTTTCAGTGTTAATTGTGATAAACCGATATTATTGAAATTTCCATATGGAAATAACTGAAGTAGACTAGAATATTGTACAGTTGTTATTTTGAGAATATATTTCTTATAACTAGAGCTATTAAATCTTCTTTAATGGAAAAAAATCCTTCAGTTTGAAAGAACAAAATTCCTGTACCCCCACTGAGAAAGCATTTTTGGGACTTTATATAGAATAAGGAAAATTTATGTAATGTATATTTATACATGCAAGTTAAGCCTATTACAGTTAGGTACATATTTTAGAAAAAAGGGGGAATTTGTTTTGGTCTTTGTGACTTCTGGAGTTTTTTGAATCTTTTGTTAAGTTGTAAGGAAAAACTAAGCATGCAACTTAAGCTTGATAAATATTGTTTGTGGAAAGCGGGAGGCAGGGCACATGGACGTGTATCAATGGTGGTTTCTGACAGTTTCCATGTTCATGTATTTGTTCCTTTTTGACCTACTTTAGACTCTGCTAAATCTGTCAGCTTTTAAAAAGTACCTCTTTACAGTAATAGTCACAATTAGAATGCTAATGTGTGTTCAGGGAAACTATGTAGAAAATATTTTAAAATATTAAATAAAAGGTAGATTTCTATCTTTCATTGATAACTTATTTTTGGATTTAAAACAGATTAGGTGCTTTGTAATCTGAAATACCTAATGTCAAATGATTATTTGGTGTAATAAAAAGAAACAGTGTCATAATGGATAATGCTTTCTTAACAAGTCAATTAAAGTCATCTTACAATAATTTTGTTAAAATTAAATTTCACAAATTTTATTTATATTTCAGAACCTCAATTTGTCTTGCCTTTAAAAAAATCTTATTGAATATTTTGCCTTGTGTCTTAACATGAACACAAAGGCACAGTATGCGTTTTGTATGCATTTGTTTAATGCATACAAAAACATAAGAAGCCAGTTCTTTGAGGGCCAAATGATAGAGAGATAAGAAACTCCCAACCTGCTGGATTGCCAGTATGAGTTTGTGCTCTCTAAAATTGAAGAATTCATTCTTGGATCAGCAGAGGTTAAGAGCAGAATCTACTGGGGAAAGAAACCTTCTGTCTAAGAGAAACAGAAGGGGTCCCCAGTGGGGTGTCTAATTTGGCCTGTTTTAGAATAACTTCTGCTTAGGGCTTATATATACATTTGAGTGTATTTTTGAATACTTAAAAAAGTTTAAAGTTTATTGTTTTGGAAAATGTATGAAATTTATTGAGAGAAAACATGTATTTCCAAATTATTTTACATTTAACTTATATTACTGATTTTTACTGATCTATTAATAGGTGATCCCATTTCATCTTTTCTGGTATACAGTGCTTCTCTAGTTTATTTTTAAAAAATATGATTAATATTTTTAGTTACCTAAAGTTCTCAAATTACATAGTTTGCTTTGCTTATCTTTGCTTGATTTTTTTCTGGGATTAGCTTCAGGTTTTTGATTTGTAACTGATAGTAGACTTGACATGCAGATTTTTAACTGCACTTTGTTGTATTACAGATTGATTGGGGAGTTACTTGTATCATGTGAACTCAGAAGATAGTTATTTCTGCATATACAAGATAACCACACCCTTAGTAAGACTATTCATGGTAGATTTTAAATCACTATGTGACTTAAGAGATTTAGTATTATTTTGAGAGTTCCTCACAAATATAATTAATATAGAATTGAGAACTGCAGTATATAGAATAAGTCATAGTGCACTGTAGCTTGGTTATAAATAAAGTATCTTATGTCAAAATTTCTGTAGCTTGGTTATAAAGTATCTTATGTCAAAATTGAGAGTTATATTAGGAAAAATTCTTTTCCTGAACTTTATGACTCTAAACACAGCTTTCTCTAGCCATGTCCACCATGTTTTAGGGTTTGTTTTAAAGATTTTGGAAGAGAAAAGCTCCTTACTACCATTGTTAGTGAATTATGCAGAAGACCACATTTATATCTTCTTTTAGTGTCTTCAAATTTGCTGGAGGTAAATTGTTGACCCTTGGATACAATTATTTTTGCTATAAAGTAAATTTTATTGGTGCTACCTATAAAAGTAGGTCAGAGTAGTAAACTTAGAAGTTTTACCTAACCACATACAATATGTAGACCTTCTTTTTAAAACGGATGTGAACAGGGCTGCGGGGGGGGGGAGTGCTGCATCTAAGTGCCTCCTGGCAAGGACCAGTACTAAGTCTGACTCCTGGTATCAAAAAAAAAAATAGGTGTGATAGGTATTTCTATTAATAAATAATGCTATTTTTAGATATAGTGATTTTTACATTTAATTATAGTATGTACCATAAAGAGACTTATTTTCATAAATAGACTTATCTTCACTTGAATCACTGCCTGTTAACTTGTTCAGTCTAAATTTTATTTGCTGGATTAGCTAAAGCATATTCTCTTCTCACATCTCTTTCCTAGGCTCCTCATCGTTCTCTCATAATCTTCCCTGTTCTCTTTTTCTTTTTGCTATGCTTATCCTGTGTTAGCTCTGTTATGTATTATTCATGTATGCTTGCAGAAGTATTTTTCTTTGGAGCATCCTGTAATGATTAAACAAATTACAACTTTATACTAAAATTTGTGCAGGAATCAGGCTATATAGTCCTGCTTTTTACATGATGGTGATAATTTGACTTCAAACTGCTATAACAGAATACCATGGATGAGTGGTTTATAAATTGCAGGATATTATTTCCTGAATTTCTGGACCTTGGGAAGTCATCACATCAAGATGCCAGCAGACTGTTCGTGAGGGCTTGCTGTTTGGCTTGCAGATAGATTGTGCCTTTCAGCTGTGTTCTCATGTGGTTGGATATGGCAGATGACTCTACCATGACTCAGAGGCTGTACTTCCAATGCCATCGATCTTGGAGTAAGAATTTCAACTTACACATTTTAGAAGCTAGCGAACATTCAAACCACAAAATTTTTAAAATTCCCTTTATTTTTAAAGTTCCCTTTATTTTTTTAAAAAAGCATATTAGAATCTAGAATAAAGAAAGAACTCAAAAGCCTTAGACCTCCCCAAGTTTAGAGACTCAATTAAGAAATGGGCACCTGAAATGAGGACATTCCTCAGATGAAGTACAAATGGCCAAAAATACATGAGAAGTATTCAACATTGCTTGGTCATTTGAGAGTTGCAGTTAAAACAACACTGAGATTTCATCTCCTGAAAGAGTGACAGTGTGCAAGAAATCAAATAATAACATATGCTGGAGGGGGTGCAGGGGAAAAAAAACATTCTTCATTGCTGGTGGACTTGTAAACTGGTAAAACCACTATGGAAATCAGTATGGACATTTACCAAAAAAGTAAAATGAGAAATTGCATTTGACCCATCTATTCCTCTACCAAGTATTTTTCTGAAAGAGTTGTAGCTATCATATGAGCATGCGTACCCATGCTTTTAGCACCACAATTTGTAATACTTAATTACAATCTAAATGTCCACCAACAGAGAAATGGATAAAGAAAATGTATTTATACCCAGTGAAGTACTGCTCTGCCATAAAGAAGGATAAAATTGAGTCATTTGTAGGGAAATGGATACTCCTTGAGACCATAATGTTACGTGAAGTAAAACAGACACAGAACTTAAATATCTCATGGGTTCTCTTCCTTGAGAATATGATATATAAATAGAGAATAGTAGAGAGCAGTAATGTGGGTCTTTAGCATATGGGAAGGGGACCACCAAATAGAGGAGGAGGAAAGGAAAAGAAATTAATAGCGGGGAGGTGGCGATGGTGCACACCTATACTTCCATCGTGCAGGAAGCTAAGGTGGGAGGAGAGCTGTGAATTTGAGGGCCACCCTTGGCTACACAGTGAGTTCAGGCCAGCCTGAACTACATGGTGAGACCCTGTCTCAAAACAAGCAAACAGAAAGAAAAACTCAACAGAACAAAGCAAGATTGTGAAATGCTGTGTATATGTACCATGACCCTGTGAGGTGTGTGATCATCATGCACTATGAATGCATATTAAAAATACATCTAAGAGGTGCAGGGAGGAGGAGAGAGAGGAGCAAGTTAAAGGAGAGCTGAGAAATGGAATGTACATGCACCAGCTCTCCATGAAAGATGTAATCATAATGTCCTATGAACATGTACCTTAGAAAATCATGTTAGAGAAATAAGTTTGTCTTTCAATTTTAATAATTTTTCACCCAAACTAAGAACATTGAATTATTTTAAACTTCAATTTTAAAAAAAATTGAAGTAGGTATACTTTGACTAAGAAATTATACTATGACTGTTGTTATTTAAAAGTATATTAAGTATTTTAAACATTTAGAGAACATCTAGTTTGATATTATTTCAGTCACAAATATATTTCTTATTGTTTTTTATGCTAAAAACATCTATACATTTCTGCCTCTAATATGTTATTTAAAAGTAGAGTATCGCTTATATTTTTTGTGTATAAATGCAAAACATGAGTGATAGGAAAAATTAGAATGACTTACAATATAGTTATAAAATTTTATAAAGCTATTTTGGTTACTAAAATTTTATTTATAGAGCTTTTTTAAATAAAATCAATGAAAAGAATTTAAAAATATATACTAAAAGCCTTGGCTTGAGATCTAAAATACAAATGCCCTTTTTTTCTCTTCTGTAATTACCTCAAATTATAGAAACAAAGCCAGTGTTTTAACATCTTTTTAATAGTTACTTTAGTAACTCAGAACTCTTTAAAATTCAAATTCTGTTTTGCAAAGATACATATTTTCACCAAGACATATATGGTCTCTTAAAAATAAAGCAATTCCATTTAATGAATAATTTAAAGTAGGGGAGAAGGAATATTTCCCTATTCATTCATGTAAGTCAGCATTATTCTGGTTCCAAAGCCAGAAAACTGTACCAGCCATTTCTTTAATGAACATAGCACAAACACTTCAAAGAGATACTGGCAACTATAATGGAACAAATCATCAAAAAGATCACACATCATAATCAAATAGGTTTTATCCTAGGAAGACAAGATGATTCAACACATGGAAATCAACAAATGTAATATGCCACATAAATAGAAACCAGGGCAAAAATCATGTGATCATACCAATAGATGCAAAAAAAAAAAAAAAAAAACTTTGAGAAAGTCCAACAGTCATTCTCAATAAAAACCCTGAAAAATTGATATGGAAGACCTTTATCTCAATGTAATAGACATTTATGACAAACCATCTGCCAACATCATATTAAATACTGACAGATTGAAAGCTTTTTCCCTAAAATCAGAAATAGATAAGAGTGTCCACTACCCCATCACTGTTCAGTACAGTACTCAAAACATTAGCCAGGACAATTAGTTGAGAAGGAAAAGAAATATATATATATATATATGAAAGAAATATATGTGTATTTTTACTAGGGAAATGCAAATTAACAGATTCCATCTGATTGCAAAAGGACGCTATCATCAGAAGTTAAATGATACATTGATGAGGCTGTTGGGAAAAAGGTATCCCTGTGTTGGTGGTAGGAATGTAAACTCTACAACCACTATGGAAAGCAGTATAGAGATTCCTTGAAAAGCTGAAATTAGAAATTCCATTTGGCCCAGCTATTCCTTTTTTAGGCATCTTCACTAAAGAATTAAAAACATTTATTATAGTGATCCATGCATGCTAGTGTTTGTTAGTAGCACCACTTAATAATAGCTAAATCTTGGAGTGGCCTGTGTGTTAGTAGACAAATGGATAAAGAAAATGTGATGTTTACATGCAATGGAGAACTGCTCCGCTATAAAAAGATAAACGGTCATTTGTAGCAAAATGGCTGAGCCTTGAGACTAGTGTTAAGTGAAATACATCAGACACACAAGTTTAAATATTGCATGATTTCTCATATATTAGAAACCTAAAGTGAAAATAGTAAAATGAAAGATAATATGAAGTAGGGGGACAGTTTTTTTTTTCCCCCAAAGGAGAAGGAGATCAAGAGATGAAAAGAGGAGGGAAGGTTGGGATGGGTGATAAAAAAATTAAGATGTGTTATGTACTTGTACCAACTCCACATCAGGAATGTAAACATGTACTGCAAACATACAGAAAAGGGAGGGATCATGAAATGGGTGGAAGGAAAGGAAAAGGGATGATAAAGGAAATTAAGATACATTTTGTATGTGTACCAGCTCCCAACAAGGAATGTAAACATTATGCACTATGTATGTGTCCTAATTCAAGAATATCACACAAGAGATTTGTCTCCTGTAGGCAGCCAGTGTGGGCAGAGAGAACCAGCAGATCTGCCTCTGCCTGCCAACCCCCACCACTGGAAGGCTTGCTTCCTGCAGGCAGCCAGCATGGGAAGAGCAAGCCAGACAGTCTATCTCTGCTTGCTGGCTGCCACCACCACAAGACTCCTTCCAGCAAGCAACCAGCAAGGGCAGTGAGAACCAGCAGATCCGCCACTGTCTGCTGGATGTCTCCACCAAAAGGCTTGCTTTCTGTGGGCAGCCAGCAGGAGCAGGGACACACAATTAGGTAAACCCTGTGCATCTGTAGGCTAGCATTGGAGGTCCTTGCTTCCTTTGGGCAGCCATCACCCACCAGGAGAATCAAACACACTCCTGTGTGTCTGCCACTATCGCAGAAGCCCCACTATAGACACACAGGCTGAAAGAAGCAGCCCCACTGCCACACACACCTGGCCACAAGGACGCCCCCTTATAGCTGCACAGGTCTGGAGAAGCCCACTCCATATCCTGCTACTTCCCTGTAAACCTGGGATCAGAGGAACCCAGGTGCCTGTCCCATTCCTCTAATGGACAGGCTGCCAGTGTGGGAAGTGCCTGGGGCCCCATAGCCAGTAGAATGGAGGAACCCAGTAGAATGTTAAGATAAAGGAGAAAAAGGCAAACTCAGACCTCTAACCCACACAGAATAAGTCTGGGAGATACAGTCATGGAAGAAAATGGAAGTCACTCTCCTGAAATCTCTGCGAGGATAGCAACTGAAGTAAAAAAATAACTTGATGAAATGTAAAAGTAATCAAATCAGAAATAATGTCTCAGGTGAAAGAAGGAATCACAAACTTAAAGAATTGCTGAGCGTATCTAAAGAAGATATAAAGAGAAGCATAGGAAAATGATGGAAACCTTGAATGAACAATATAGAAAGGAATTACAATGCATGAAACAGATTCAAAGAGATATTCAGGCAATTAAAAAGTCAATCAAAAGCTGGCAAAAGTGCTTGAAAGAGATTGAAGATAGACTTTCAAATCTTCAAGACAGGATTGCAGTTAGCGATCATGAAAGAAAGATCTTTTAAAAGTAACAAGGAACCAGGAAATAATTCAGTGGCTGCAAGATGATGCAAAGAGGCATAATTTAAGAATGATGGATATCAGTGAAGAAACAGAGGTCAGTACAAATGAAATTTAAAGGCTATTTACAGAAGTAACAGCAGAAAACTTCCAAAACATAGGATATAGATCTGGCATGCAGGTAAGTGAGGCAGTTGGACTCTAGCCATAACCAAAGTAAATCTACACCCCGCCATACAATAATCAAGATCCCAAAAATTCAGCACGAGAACAGAATACTAAAAGTTGTTAGAGAAAAGAAACAGATTACCAATAGAGGAAAACCAATCACAATCACAGTGGACTTGTCAACATAAGCCATCAAGTCAGGAAGAGTTTGGGAGTGAAGTGTTTCAAATCCTGAAGAAAACAACTTGCAACCCAGATTGATCTACCCTGCAAAACTATCTTTCAAAACTGATGGAAAAGTAAGATACCTCCATGATAAAGAACAACTGAAGGAATTCATGACCACCAAATAAACCTTACAGAGAGTGCTAAAGGATATTCTAGAGAGAGAGAGAAAGATGACCACAGTTCCAGGAACAGCAGCAGAGGAGGATCACCAAACAAGGCAACTGATTGAAGGGGACAAGTGGAAGACCAACAGCAGGATAGCATGGCAAGGATAAACCAATGTATTCTGATTGTAACCTTTAATGTAGATGATCTCAGTACAGCAACAAAAAGAAATGGAGAGTGGATCAAGAAACAAGAACAGTATATACTATCTATTGATATGTTGTATATAAGAAGCACATTTAACTGGCAAGAAAATTCATAGACTGAAAATCAAAGGAGACAAAACAATTGTTCCATGTGACAGAAGACCAGAAAAAAAGCAAGGGTAACTTGCTCATCAACCACAGAAAGATATGGTATTTTCATGCAGTGAAAAGTTACCCAGCTATAAAGCAGAATAATCTCAAGGCTCTTATAGGTAAATATATGCAACTGGAGATCATTTTCATGGGCGAAACTGTTTCGACTCATATAGGTGAATCTTAGCATAAAAAACAGAAGGGGTTAGTAGGATCCAAAAAGCACAATAAATACTATAAAAGTGATAGGGAGGAAACACCTAGAAGGGAAAGGTGGTAACCCCCATTAATTTCTTATTGTCTTGTCTTGAACTCTTGTCATGTTGTCACAATTTTGTTAGTTTTACCTTTATTCTGTCTTGTTAAATCTTACTGTGTCTGATGGTGTGAGCATCTATTTTGAACATGATGGGATGTATTATGGTAATTATGGTTGATTTCCCATTATCTTGTTTTGAAGCCCTATAATGCTTTCATTCATTTGTTTAATTGGTTTTATTCTGTTTTGTTTGATTTTATTATGTGTGATACTATGAACATCTATCTTGAGGAAAATGAGACATTATGTATGGTAGCCACTGCTATTTCCTATCATGCTTTTATTTTTTTGTTTTGATGGGTTCTATTCTTTTGTGTTTTATTTAATTTCATGTGTGATAGTGTAGAAAACTGTTTTGAAAAAAACGAGGCATTGTAGTAACCATCGTTCACTTTGTGTTATTTGGTTTTGAAGTCCTGTAATGCTTTCATTCTTTTGACTGGTTTTATACTATTTTGTTATGTTTGATATTATTGTGTGTGAAGGTATAGACAACTGTTTAGAAGAAAATGGGACATTATGGTAGCCACTGTGGATTTCCCGTTGTGTTGTTTTAAAGACTCCTCTGTTGCTTGCATTGTTTTTTTCTGATTTGCTTTGTCTTGTTTTGTTTTTCTCTTTAAAATAATAAAAATTCACACAATAAAAAATCAATAAAAATCACACAAAACGGTGGCTCCACATTGCTACCTATCAAAGGCTTACAGTATAGTACATGAGGTGTTGGTTGGACATGCCCATTATGCCTGTTTTACAGTGAGGAAATAATTGTGTTGTATTTTGCTTGATAACCATAAGGAAAAGAGAGAGAGCAGAAGAATTTGGGGGCATTTGTTACAATGATTGTCTAAATACCTAGACTAGGTAAGAAAGGAAGGATGAATCTGACTATAGATAGTGAAGAATTGGTATGTTATGAACCAGAAGGCCTAATGAGGTCAGAGAGTTATTGAAAGGAGTATTTTAAAGCAAAAATAAATCAGAAGCTGAAGATCAGAGAACAAAAAGTTTGAAATTGAGATTTCATATTTGATGTTATTAGTCATAAGGTCCAGTGTTTCCACAGAAAATGTTGAGGTTTGGTAGAAGAATAGAGGTTTGGAACAAGAATACTCAGAGAATCAAGAGGCTGTGGGTTTGGATATGTCACCTTGGGGATATGTAAGTTCTCAAGAATAACAACAGTGGTGGGACATAGTGGTGGGACATTGAAATTCTAAATTCAATGAATTCAGAATTTAAGAGATAATATCAACAAGGAGTGGTGAGAGTAATACATGTCCGGTAATATGTTTCAGAGGGACTGAAGGTTTTAATGAAATGGAAGAGAAGACATGAGATAGGAAATGACATTGACCTTCAAAGAGGAAACCTACCCTATTTCCAGACTTTGAGCTGATGAGAGATCTGAGCAGCATGCATGTTTTCCTGAAGCCAGGGAGACCAGTGTACCCAGCAAGCTGCAGTTTCTGCTGGGGTGAGGGAGACATTGACAGGAAGAAATGTCCCTAACCATGGTGTGAATGAAAATGGGGGATAGATAAGACAGTAGAAGAGTAGGATCATCCTGCTGAGCACCAGCCATGAAGCTTAAAAACAAAATGGAAGAATTGGTAAGTATTTGAGAAGTAGGAAATAGGTCTATAGAAAAGCGCAGTGATGAACTTCATAATGATAACTAATTTGGGAGTTTTGTACTTCTGGTTGAGTTGAAATGATCTGTAAGATGGAGTCACCCAAGTTGAGAACATGTCGTAACTGACTAAATTTTGATGGTGACTGTCAATAGGGAAGGGACCAACACTGACTCATGCAGTGATGAAGATTATGGATATCTCAAACAAAGTTTTCATTTGTGAGCATTAAGATCAATTAATTATCTTATTTGAAATTATTTTTCAAAGGCCTTACGTTTTATTATGGATAATAATATAGGGATTGATTTGTCAAAGTGCTTTTAGTATATGCCTCATTTAAACTGTACCTTCTATTTTCTTAACTTAAAAATTTCTTTTTGACCTTTTTGAGACAGGATTTCATTATGTAGTTCAGTGTGGCCTTGAACTTATTTTGTAGCCCAGGCTGGCCTCTAACTCTCAGTTATCTTCCTGCCTCAGCCTCCCAAGTGCGAAGATTATAGATGTGTACCACCACACTCAGCTCCTTTGTACTTTTATTTTTTTTGGTACCAGGGATCAAACTCAAGACTTCATGTTTGCCAGGCAGGTGTTTATGCCACTGAGCTAAACCCCCGGCTCCTTTGTGCTTTTAATAAGAACAGGGCAAGGTATTTTTAATTGTGTAGCCTGTTAAAGTTTCAAAACATAGTACATGCTGGGAATTCTGTACAGTTCCAAAAGAGGAAACTTAGACCAAACCACATGGTTATGAATTGGAAAAGCTAGCCTGGGAGGTGTTTAGTTCAAAAAGGAGGCTTTAGGAGACATGGCAAATAGTAATCTGAGCTGATAGAACAAAAATTCCTTTTTGTAGGCCCTAAATATAAATGCTAGAGCAGCATGATTTGTTTTAGATCTTAAGCAATCGCCTTGCTCTGTGTAGAATGGGCACTACTAAGTGTGCAAGTGGGAAAATCTGCTGGGATTCCCTTGTAGAGCAATGGAAAATGAGGTGAATCATAAATGTGAACAGTAAAATTTTAGGTTGACAGAGTAACTTGTATTAGAACAATTCTCCCACAAATAAAACAATTAAAATTTTGGACAAAACCAAACAGAAGGTATTTTTTACTTGCGCAAAAAATAAAACTATCAGTGTGGAATTTTGTCCCACAAAAATGTCTTTTAAAATCAAAGATATTTTTTTGAACTTTAAAAAAAATTTTTAAGATAATAAAGCCGGATAAAACAAAACAAAATAAAGCCAGTCAAAACAAAGTAGTGAAATTGCTACAGAATTTCGAAACAAGATAATAGAAAATTAACAATGACTACTATAGAATTTGTTATTTTCACAGTAGTTGTCCATTCCATCAGACATAGCAAAATCAAACCAAACAAAACAGAATAAAACCAATCAAAACAACATTGAATAAAGCAAAACAATAATTCAGAACAAATCAAAACAGTAAGAAAAATAATGGATTTCAAAAACAACATGGAAGGAAATCCTCCACATTGGCCACACTGCATTCTGTTACCCTCCCAACAGATGCTTACACCAGTGCCCCTGGCCTGCAAAGTCAACCAAATAATACAAGCATTCAGCTGCTTTTTGTAACTCAGTTGCTATCAACTCAGCCTGCTCTCTGAACCAGCTAGGTTTGGGTGCTTGCTTGGGTTTGGGTCGGGGGTGTCTTGATTCTCAGCCCGCTTGCCAGTAGGTGCATGGGAGGTGCTTTCTGGCTTCTTTCTTCCTGGGCCCCATATAGCTTGCTTGTGCCACTTACCGGAATACCTAACTGGCTTCTTGATGGACTCCTCCCAGAGCCAGCATGTCTTCTGTAAAACATTCTTAGTGGGAGAAAAGCTGAGAGTTTTGTCCAGCAGACCTACACAACAAGAGATCCCGAAGGACTAAAGGACATTGTTAAGAATGAAGAAAAAATGATACTAGATGGAGATTTGGATCTATAGCAGGTAATTGCTTTGTGCTACACTATAGAAAAGTATTTAAAATGCTAATATAATAATATAAAAGGCTATTTTAGTAAATATTAATATAAGACTTTTTTCTTTAAAAAAATTTTTAAAGGCAGTTGTTTAAACCAAAAATGACAAAAATGTATGTTGGAGTTTCTCTGTAGAAGTGAATATGTGGCAGTAATAGCATAAGTGATTCAAAGGAATGTAAATACAATCTTCCATTTAAAGTGCTTTATTAAATCACAGTGTATAAGAAAACATATTGTAATTGCTCTGCTTGCTTTGTTCAATGGATGGTACCATTAAACACAATCAACTTTTAATTAATTTCAAACTTAATTTAATAAATCAGTTGCACCAGCCATATGTCAACTGTTCCCCAACCATATATGACCAGTAGCTGTTGCTTTGGATAACCCAGATGCAGAGTGTTTCTGTCAGCAGAGAAAGTTTTGTTACATAGCACTTTCCTTGAGCAAATACTAAAAACCAATAAATTACAAAGGCTTTAAAGCCCACAGGGTATGTTCCCTGGTAAAATGAAATTTAATTAGAAATCAGTAATTGAGAATTAAGCGGTGTATTTCTGAGTAACCTCTGAATCTATAGTTAATTGCTTTGGACCCAGAGGTTATTTCTGAATCAAGAAAAGTCACAAAAGAGGTTAGCAAATTTTTTGAATTAAGTTACTATTGAAAGTTGGTGAGGTATAGATAAAGCAATTCTTAGGGGATAATTTTTTTTTCTTAGAGACTAATTTGTAGCTTTAAATTTTTATAGTAGAAAAAGATACAGGTTTAAAATAACATCATGTTTTGACTGTTCCCTCCAAAATGCATATTAGAATTAAATTTCCATTTTAATAATATTAATAAGTAAGAACTTTAGGAGAAATTAGACCATGAAGTTCCATACTTCTGGTTGGTGTGGTACCATTATAAAACCAAAATAGATAATAAGTGTACTATGTACTTACATCCTAAAAAGCTTTTAAAAGTGTACTACTTTATTTAATTTCCTAATGAGCCAAACATAGTAAGTTCTATATGTCAAACATATAAAACAAATGAGGAAGCTGAAGCTTTAAAAACTTTTAAAGAATTAAGTTGGCAAATCACAGCAAAATACAGCTTAACCAGTGATTAAACTTGGGCTTTTGTGTGTCGTGATCTCTTCTGGTTAACTTTCTCATATACCACAGTATATGAGAAGCCTTCCTGTGTTATCACTGTGCATGATGTCTTAGTTTTATGGCACTGGTCAGCCTACAAGTACAACCTTGTTAGAACTCTATGAGATTCATATACAAGGTATCCAAATCCTTACTTGAGTGCAAGAAAATCTAACTTACTCAGAAGTCATACTTGAACCAAAAGCTCAATGATAGAAATGAATTGAACCAGGATATGACTGGAATTTTAGAAATACTAAAGGACTAAATTTTCTTTCTTTTGGTACCAAATATTATTTATCAATTTCTTCTTCCCTTACTAGATTCAGAAGTGACAGTAGGTTTACCATCTTTCTGCCACATCTAGGCCTTGTCCTCAGCTTGCTGATTATCCTGATATCAGCCATGCTGGCAGCTCTTCGTTTTCTCCACCTCCGTTTCTCTTCAGCCTCATTTGCAGCCTCATACGGCAGGAATTACTTGTAAATGCAGTAATTTGAAAAATCACTTTTTTCTACTTCTTCCTCTCCCTTTTTCCATTTTGTTCAAGTTTTTTCACTGTAATATTTTTTGTGTGCCTCAACAAGAATTTCAGCTGACTGATCCTTTTACTGTTGTTCCATCAGATGTTGATTCTCTTAACTTTTTGATTCATTTTATTCATTCAAAAAGATATGTTTAGCACCTCAGAGATACGAGGTAGTATTCTCAGCATTGGAGGTAATAATAGTAAACAAGCCGACAAACTCTTGCCAATATTCTGAAATTCTGTGACTTTTTTCTTCGAATCACACCACTATATTCCTGATTGAGACTAATTACTTTCGTTATACCTCCCCCAAAGAGCCAAGTATGTTGAAAACATTTAAAAATAAGACCCTCAAAATATAATAA